AAAAAAGGAGAGGCAGAGCCAGTGGAGACAAGGTTTATTCAGGACTTACATATAAAAGTGGTCCAGTGGTGGTAGGCTGGATAGAACTGCTACTGTTTGTAAAAAAATCATACAGTCTATGTAGTATTTTCACTTAGCACCCTCCTTCTGGCAACCTCCATAGAACCCAAAACAAAGGGCCTTGATCCCCTGTACAGCCTGTGTTCCAAGATATGGGCTAGGGGTGTGGATGTCCTTCATAGATAGGGAGTGAATCTCAGGGTTAGCTGCTCCTGGATTCCTTAGCCCAGGACTCCAAACGTAAGTTCTTCTTAGACCGTAGGGTTATTCTCGAGAGAACATTACCTGATTTCAAGACTTGTCAACCTTGTGGTATTGGCACAAAGATAAACAGATTAATGGAACAGAGAATCCATAAATAGACCCATACCATATGTGGACAACTGATTTTTAACAAAGGTCCAAAGGTAAATCAGTGAAGAAAAAATAGTTGAAAAGGATAGACTTTACAACAAATTGGATATACATATGCCAAAAAGTGAGTTTCAATACATATCTTGCACCATGCACAATTAACTCAAAATGGATTATGGGCCTACAACTCCTATAAAACTTCTATAAGAAAGAAAATCTTTGTGATTTTAGGTTAGGCAAAGATTTCTTAGCACACCGAAAGCATGATCCATAAAAGAATTTGTAAATTAGACTTCAACAAAATTTAAAAGATTCTACACTATGAAAATATTTACAATCACATCTCTGATGAAGCGCTTGCATGTAGAATATATAAAAAAACTCTCAAAACTCAGAAACTGTAATTCAATAGGGAAACAAAACCACAACCATATACCACTACACACCCATTTAAATGGCTACAATGAGAAAGACTGACAATGTTGGCAAGGATGTAGGGCATCCTGGAAAACTCATATACCACTGGTAGGAATGTAAAAAGGCACAACCATAAGATGATTTAGACCACTGCTACACAATTAGCACCCAAGAGATATGAAATAACATGTTCATGCAATATTTTTACAGGAATGACTTTATAGAAGTTTTAATGGTTAATAGTTGAAAACTGGAAACAACTCAAATGTACATCAATAGGTGAATAAACAGTAGTACAACTGGCCAGGTGTGGTGGCTCATGCCTGTAATCCCACATTTTGGGAGGCCAAGGCGGGCAGATCACCTGAGATCAGGTGTTCGAGACTAGCTTGGCCGAAATGGTAAAACCCTGTCTCGTCTAAAAATACAAAAAAAATGTGGTATGTATCTATAGTCCCGGCTACTCGGGAGGCTGAGGCAGGAGAATCACTTGAACCCAGGAGGCGGAGACTGCAGCGAACCAAGGTCACACCACTGCACTCCAGCCTGGGCAAGAGTGAGACTCCGTCTCAAAACAAAGAAACAAAAAACAACAGTAATATAGCCAGTATAGCCGTACAATGGAGTACTACTCAGCGATAAAAGGAATGAAGCATTGCTACACACTACAATAGGGATGAATCTCAAAATTATTATGCTAAGTGAAGGAAATCAGACAAAAATAGTACATTTGGTATGATTCCATTTATATAAAATCCTGGAAATTTTAAAAACTCATCTGTATGACAGATAACAGATCAGTGGCTTATGGGGTAGGGGGCGGGGGTTGGAGAGCAGGGCAGAATTTCAATAATAAAAGGGGCACAAGAAAACATTTTGGGTTAATAGGGATGTTCACTATCTTGATGATGGTGATGATTTTACCAGTGTGTATATATATATGTAACACTTCAAACTGCACATTTTACGTGTGTGGGGTTTGCTTTATGTCAATTATAGCCCTATAAAGCCATTTTTTAAAACACATTTAGAGCTATAGATAAGAACTGATAGTCATCAACATATGGATGGTGGTGAGCAACATGAGAACACGATCATGAAAACAGACAAGGAGGCTAGGCACAGTGGCAGGCTCATACCTGTAATCCCATCACTTTGGGAGGCCAAGGCAGGAGCATCCCTTGAGCCCAGGAGTTTGAGACCAGCCTGGGCAACATGGTAGAACTCTGTCTCCACAAAATAAATTAGCCAGATGTGGTGGTGCATACCTGTGGTCCCAACTACTCCTGAGGCTGAGGTAGGAGGATTGCTTGAGCCCAGGAGGTCAAGGCTGCAGTGAGCTATTATCATGCTACTGCACTCCAACCTGGACAACAGAGCAAGATTTACCTTAAAAAAAACGGGGGGCGGGGGTGGCAATGACAATCTGTAGTTTTCTCATTTAATAAATATTGAGTCCCTACTATGTATAGATATTATGCTAGGGACAGGGGATACTAAAATGACTGCAATCTTGGTACTTAATAATCTTGTGTTGGAATCATGCATATCAACAGGCAATTATAGTGTCATATATGTCTAAATGGGAGAGATTAAAGGGTTCTGTGAGAGCAGTCAGAAGATTTTGAAAGCTCAGAGAAAGCTCTCAGAGGAAGCAATGTCCCAGCCGAAGCCTGAAGAACACGTAGGAGTTAACCAGCATGAGATAAACTGCTAAGCAGAGTGGCTGGAAAGCAGAGCTACTGCAGTGATTTGGGAAGTAGAACTTCAGGGATGTTCATCTGCAAAAGCCCCTTCAAATCCTCTAATTTATTATAAATTTGTATGTATTTTTCCTAAATAAATCCCCTCCTAACTCCCACAACTCCACCAAATTGTGTAAATTTTGGCCCTACAAGACCTGGATTTGTCCTTAAGTACGTCTTTCTTTAGGGCTACTTAAATTTTGCCCCTTCTTATGTTTGGGGAATTCCCACTGAGTCGTCCCACTGAGCCAGTCTTCCTCTACAAAAGCTGAAATACCAAACAACTTAACTGAACTTGCACAAACTTTAAAATTGGTAGCTGGTTAACAACAACAAATCAAGGTAGGACCTTAGTGTATCCTCTCCAGATGCAGCAGCACATGTGTCAAGTTCAAGTTTCCAAAGCAGCAGATAGTGTTACAAAGCACAATGTGTCAGTGCTTGGCAACAGTGGCTACAATTTCCTCACCCAACCAGTTATGCAGTACGGTTCCAGGATTGATTCCTAGCCATGTGGCTCAGATTGATGCTGATTCTCTAGTCCTTTTGGCCATTCTGTGAGCAGCACAATATTCTTCTAATATAATTTATCTTATACTGAAAACTAGAATCCATCTCTGTTGCTTATGACTAAGAATCCAAACTGATAGACAATTTGGTATTTGGAAGTGGAGTGCTACAAAACAGATCTGGAATGGTGTGTAACTGGCCAGGTGGAAAAGGCAAAATGGAGGGCATTGAGACACAACTGTTTCAGGCTGGGAAAATAGTGACTCTGAGACAGTACATCAAACTCACACCATAAAGAAATGTACTCTAAAGCTGAGCAGCCTTAGAGTCTTCTTCCCAGTGCTCATATCACATGTGACTGTTGAGGACAAGACACCAGGGAGCCACAGCCTGCATGTCCCACCAGAGATAATCAGACATGAAGCTGGATAGAGTATCTGAATGAGATTCTGGCTGATTCTCTTTGGGAAATAAATACATTTTTCACATGGGCATGAACATTTTTGAATGTATATACAGAAAGGACATGTATATATAAACATAGGATACTCATTCCTCCCTTCTTCCCTTGCCGTGGAGCCTCCATTTTGTTTCTCCAGCACATGACTAAGTCATTTGTGGTAATCCGACACCCCACATTTTTGAGATCCCAACCCCACATTTTTGGCCATATTGGGCAACAATATGGTTTAGGAAGGGGTATAATAACTAATCTAGCCAATGGGCCGTACATGAGATGTCTGCTCAGGGATTCTGGGAAAGGTATCCTTACTGATAAACAGAAACACAGAATAAAGAACAATAACAGTGGCATCACAGGTCCTTCCTTGATAAACAATGTTGAATCAATGATTTGGTGTGGAGAGACCAAGTACTGAGAGCCATGTCTTATTCAGGAGTTGGTGACCAGAATATGTTAGGGCTACAGAGAGTCAAGACTTAATATAGGGGCAGATCATACTGGTCCTTGTAAACCCTGTTCAGAAGTTTGCATATTCATTGCAAGAAATGATCGTAACTTAAGGTCGAAACATGAAGATGAATGACAAAAACTTTTCAGGAGGTAAATTGCCTGGGCTGCATGACTGACTGGATGTGGATATCAGATGTGACTGAGCCATGGAAATGGCTGAGATTGTCAAAGGAGCATCTCGCTTGGGACCACTCTGAGTAGCAAGAAGTAAACAATACTAGTAAAAAATGAAAACTGTACAGCTTTCCCATGAGATACAAATTCAGTAGGTATGGGGCGGAACCAAAGAATTTGCACTTTATGAAAAAACATCAGCTAGGTACAGTGGCTCACGCCTGTAATGCCAGCACTTTGGAAGGCCAAGGAGGAGTGGATCCCTTGAGCCCAGGAGTTGGAGACCAGACTGGGCAACATGATGAAAACCTTTTTCTACACAAAATACAAAATCCAATTAGCCACGCATGGTGCAGGCCTGTGTTCCTAGCAATGCGGGAGGCTGAGGTGAGAGGATCACTTGAGCCCTGGGAGGTGGTCGTTGCAGCGAGCCAAGACTGTGCCACTGCGCTCCAGACTGGGTGACAGAGCGAGACACTATCTCAAAAGAAAAAAAAAGAAGAAGAAGAGAATTACATTAACTCTGAAATAGTTGGCCTAGGAACCCAGTTTGATGGAGGAATTTGAATGTTAAGCTAAGAATTTTGGACTTTATCCTACAGTTTGCAAGAAAGGCATTGAGAGTTTCCATATACGAACATTACGTATTCCCAAGGAATCTTTTTATTTGTTTTTTTTTTTTAAGACAGGGTGAAAAAAAAAAAGAGAACAGAAAAAAAGAAGAAAAAAACACAGGCCACTGTAGTACTGTTAACAATTCAACACACTCAGAGCATTTCTCTTTGCTTCCTTGCCCTCTGAACTGTTCAATAGTGAAGAACACAAAGGTAACTGCAGTATTTATTTCAGACCTGCTGTTGCTCTCCAATTTAAAAGCAAAACAGGAACATTACATTTGTCACAGTTTAAATTGATAAAGGTAGACCTCTATCAGATACAGGTGTGTCTTGACTTACAATGGGTTTACTGGGGGAGGGGAAAATATCGTAAGTCAAAATGCCTTTAATATATCTAACCTACTGGGCTTCACAGCTTACACTAGCCTACCTTAAACATACTCAGAACACTTACATTAACCTACAGAGGCAAAATTAATACAAATCCTGTTTTATTATATAGCTCATGTAATTTATGGGAACAATGTCCTGAACATGAAAACAGGATAGTTGTATGGGGACTCAAAGTACGGTTTCTACTGAATGTGCATTGCCTTTGGAACCATCATAAAGTCAAAAACTTTCAGTCAAACCATCATACGCCCCAGACCGTCTGTTTATGAAATGCTCCCTAGGAGCCCTATGCCAGATACCATGCCTAAGTGTTTTCTAACTTTATATACCACATTCAAAAGGAGCCTGTTAATAAAGATGTTCCTGAAATCGTGGAAAGTATTAGTCCTTCCTTTCTTTTGCAGCTGACAGGATTTTTAAAAGAACTGCTAAACCACAAGCATATTTCAGCAGCTGTTTGTTCTTCCTAGTATGAGTTACTTCCTCCCTCTGCCAACATCGCTTGCCTTCTAGTTTGAGGAAATATTCAGAAGCGCAGTAAATTGGTCTGTTTTCAGAAATTCCTTCGTCTTTGAATTAATATATTTTATAAAGCAGGTTTGGTTTGGCTCCTTAAGATTTGGTTACTTAGAATAAAATCTTCCCAATTTAATAGCCAATTTGCATACATGTAAAAATGCATGAATTTTAAAAGCACCTTTAGGATTAAGAGGATTTTATCTGTATTTACAGAATTTAAAGCTGATTACTTCAGCAAGTTTTAGAGCAATTTTAAGAATAGTAGCAAGACAAGAATCTTAAGATAATACATTATTTAGAAACAAGAATCTAAGGATAATACATTCTTTAGAACCAAATGTGTAAATGGTTAGATGAAGGATGTTTTAATAACATGGTCTCAACTGTGGAGGTATCATCATCTTTCAAAGCTACCTGCAAAAAATGGACAATGTCCTCACTGGCTAGTGAAAAGTAGAAAAATTTAAGGAATTCTTAGCAAATTTCTTATCTTTTAAAATACCCATGGTCATCCCCGAAGAAGGTCAATGCACCTGTCTTTTCTAAAAACAAAGCAAAAACAACTCTACAGAAAGATATAATCAAGGATTCAATTTAGGTTCATTAATAAGCAAGGAATTGAGTTCATAAGCAATACTACCTCCAGGACTTTTAATTTCTTGGCAGGGATAATAGTGACATTAAAAGCAAGCTTATACTTTCCTAGTATTAAGGAGAAGTAGATTTATTTACAACCAATTTCTGCTTCAAAACACTTCCAAGCATACAACAAATGCCAACCTGAAAGAGGGATTCCCTATTTAATTGTCTCAGTTATTAGAATATGGATGGTCTTTTCATTCTAGATAACATGCCCTTGTTTGCTTATTTTTGTAAAGGAATTATCTTGGAATCTGATAATTCTGGGACTTCACTGATGGCTAGGCACTGCATATCTTCGTTATATGCCCATTTCCATTCATTCCTTAAAATATTATGAAACACTGTTACAAACAAAAGAATATGTATAGTATAATGTATAATTATAATATGTATAACATATAGTATAACAACATATAATGAGATAAAAGCATGATGAAATGACCACCTGTGAACCTGCTGTCCAACTTGAGGAAGAGAATGATAGTACTGTTGAAGCCCCGGGTGTCTTTTCTCAATTACCCTGCCTTCCTGAAATACTGTATTATGTTGATTTTGTTTTACAGTTTTATCATCTTTATAGCTAAGAAAGTATATTCAAAATTTGGTTTTTGAATTTTATAAAATACTATTATATTGCATGCATTCTGCTGCAACTTACTTTCTTTAGGACACTATGAAGATATCTGTACAGTGTTTTGAAATTCAGGTAAGTATCTGCACTCTAAAAGTGAATATCTGGCAGAAAAAATCTCAATCAATGTATTTTATAAACCCTTGAAATTACCACTTACCTGCTTCATTGTTAATTGGGAACTCCCAGTTTCCCTTCTTTTGTCCACTGGATCAGCTCTTCAAACCCATTCTGAAGGAGTTGTTCATTTTCTATGGCTAACTGCTTAGCAAATTCCACATCCCAAAGTGAAGGTCACGTCTATATAACAAGACATTTTAAATAGAAACAAGTCAATGTAAATATCTTTTTAAAAAATGTTATAAACAATCCTGAATTGATCATGTATTTTTCATACCTTGACACTCATAATTATAGTATATAATAAAAAGTTCCTGAGAGTAAGTTATAAGACTATAACTAGGCCGGGCACAGTGGCTCACACCTGTAATCCCAGCACTTTGGGAGGCCAAGGTGGGAGACCACCTAAGGTTAGGAGTTCAAGACCAACCTGACCAACATGGTGAAATTCCATCTCTACTCAAAATACAAAAAAATAGGCTGGATGTGGTGGCTCACACCTGTAATCCCAGCACTTTGGGAGGCCAAGGTGGGTGGATTATGAGGTCAGGAGTTCGAGACCAGCCTGACCAACATGGTGAAACCCCGTCTCTACTAGAAATACAAAAAAGAAAAATTAGCTGGGCATGGTGACACATGCCTGTAATCCCAGCTACTTGGGAGGCTGAGGCAGGAGAATCGCTTGAACCCAGAAGGCAGAAGTTGCAGTGAGCCAAGATCGCACCACTGCACTCCAGCCTGGGCGACAGAGCAAGACTCTGTCTAAAAAAAAAAATTAGCTGGGCACAGTGGTAGTGCCCATGATCCCAGCTACCTGTGAGGCTGAGGAAGAAGAACTGCCTGAACCCAGGGGCAGAGGTTGCCGTAAACCAAGATGAGGCCACTGTACTTGAGCCTGGGTGACAGAGTTAGACTCTGTCTCAAAAAATATATAAATAAATACATAAATAAATAAAGACTATAAGTACAATAATGGCAAGCTTAACTTTGGTTTTACAACAATGCCAGGTAATCACCGCCTCCTCTAATGGAAAAATATATATATTTGTATTTTTTTAAAGGTATTTTTATGAATCTGAGTATTTTTATACAAAATATGACTTTGTCTTTCAAAATCTAGCCTATTAATCTTTATTTTTAGTCTATCAAAATTAGTCACTAATATATTACTCTTGACAACCAAAGACATTAGAGCAACAAAATAATAACAATAAAACTGCTAATGATTACCGAGTACTTCCTCTGTGCTTAAATGTTTTTTATGCATTAGTACATTTAATCTTCACAACACTAATCCTGTAAGTTGGCTAATTACCACCATTAAATTACATGTTTCAATAACCTTTATTAAATGTGTACTATGTTCCAGGCACTGTGCTTGACACTTTTCTCAGATGACCTCATTGAATCCTTAAGATATATATGTACTAACCCTCATTTTATAGGTGGGGAAAGGTTAGTGTGGCAGAATCTGAACTTGCATCCAGTTCTACACAACACCAACACTTTCTGTTGAGCTATACACTGTACTGCCTGCCAGCTCAAGGATAACTAGTAGGGCCTATGACTATATCCTTTGTAGCAGTGCTAAGAACTTAGTGGACAACAAGACTTGGGAATCATAGAACAGAATAACCCATTCAATCAATCAATAAAAAATTACTGAATGCCAACTGTATTTCCAGCATTACTTGGGGTGGTAGGAAAACAACAGCGAACAATTGCTAAATTTAAGTTTCCACACTTTGCTATTCTTATACTTAATTGGGAACAAAAAACATTCTTTAGACTCATGCAAGTATAGCATATTCAAACGGTACCTTCATTAGAGTAAATTAATACATAAATTCATGTGCTGTTTTCCTCACTAAAGTATAATCACTTGATATTGTTTTATAAAATACATAAAATTTGAATGCATCCTTGCCAACTAATTTCAGTTTTAGAAATAAAATTTTATTTTAAAAAGTAAACTAGCTTCTTGAAGAATCCAAGTGTTTTTTTTGGCTGGACAACAGCAGCTGCCCTGACAAAAAATTCCTTTCTGATGCATGCTTAACAGATATCATTTGAGCAGGGGAGAGGTGATTCATTGTCCCTATACATTTTGCATATCCCCCCCCCCTTTTTTTTTTTTAAGAGATGAAGTCTTGCACTGTCACCCAGCCTGTAGTACAGTGGTGTGATCTGGGCTCACTGCAACCTCCGCCCCCTGGGTTCAAGCCATTCTCCTGCCTCAGCCTCCTGAGTAGCTGGGACTAGAGGTACACACCACCACGCCCAGCTAATTTTTGTATTTTTAGTAGAGACGGGGTTTCACCATGTTGACCAGGATGGTCTCGATCTCTTGACTTCATGACCTGCCTGCCCTGGCCTCCCAAAGTGCTGGGATTACAGGCGTGAGCCACCACGCCCAGCCGCATTTCCTTTTTATCATACACAACAGAATGCAATTTTTGTAATACAAGGGGGTTGTTCTTTTAGCTTCACCTTCAGTTCAAATGAATAAAACCTTAATTGAATTAACTACTTTTCCTTATAAATGTATTTTTATAGTACAGTTTGTTCAAAAAAGAATTTAAGATTTAAGATAACTAGTTCCTATGATCTGTAAGCCACATGAGTAGATGCTACAGGGTATACAGACATGAATGAGATCTAGCCTCTAATAGAGTTTATTAAATAAGAGGAAAATCAGAAGTTCACATAAGTAACTGATGGAAAGATTAAACAAGCCATTGGAGGCTGGCCTAGGAACTTATCTAACACGTACAACTTTTTTTTTTTCCCTTTGAGAAGGGGTCTCACTCTGTCGCTTAGGCTGGAGTGTTATGGCATAAGTGTAGCTCACTGCAGCATCAAATTCTGGGCTCCATTGATCCTCCCACCTCCCAAGTCACTAGAACTATAGGCATGCACCACCATACTCAAATAATGTTTTTTATATTTTTTAGAGAAAGAGTCTCACTATGTTGCCCAGGGTGGTCTTGAACTGCTAATCACAAACCATCCCGTCGTCTCAGCCTCCTAAGTCCATATACAACATTATTTCTATCAAAGTCCAAAAAACTAACTTTAATTTGTTAAAAATGCTCATCACTTAGACTCTGGAGACCATTTTGTATTGAGTTTCTTCATTTATTTTACTAGCAAACCACATTTAATGTCAAGCAAGAGGATATTCATTTCTCTTTTAGACTTAAAATGGTAAATTTCTTACCCAAAGAAAAGGGAAAGAATAGAGAGCAAAGACCAACCATGTGTTGAGAAAAAAGAAAAAAAACACTACAAGTAGGTTAAACGGATTCCCTGAATGTTCTTCCCATCTCCTGAACAATCACTAAATCACTTCAATAAGTTATTTTATAAATGCTATCTCCTCTTCTAGACAGTAAGCTGCGTAGAGGCAGGAACAAGTATATCTTTATATAATAGCATAGAGATACACTGCAAATGGTAGGTGATTAATAAGGTTCTAACCCAAATTAGTAGCTAATCTGGACCTCTGGCTTCATATAATTGGTAGTACTTACCTTCCATTGTCTCACAGAAGGCAACATTTCATGGGGGAAACCGGACCACAACTAACATGTCAACAACTGTAGTGTGATATGTCCCCCACCAGATTACTTAAGGGTATATGTATGTTGCTTGAATGCCGAAGGCTGGGCAGGGAGCCAAGGCCACAGTGTCTAGCTGAGGAGCAGATGTCCCTGAGAACCTAGGGCATACCTGGGAACATATCAAGGAAAATAGTCTCATCATGCACACACAGTAGGCAAACAGCTAGAATATTAGCTTAAAAGCAGCTTAGAGATAAGAGGCAGGGTGACTCTAGAGCTGCCCAGAAATGTCCACTATGTAAGTCCTAGTAAACCCCTCTATTCATCAAGCTGTACTTGCCCAAATTATTCTTTGGTCTCTAAATGCCTTCCCAATTTTGGGGGACATTACAGTTCCAAGTTTTCCTTGTAACAACTGCCACATTCATAATTAGGATCCAGGCCAATGGAAGGATGAAATGTTAAAATATCCAACTATTATATCATCAGAACAAACACTAAGGGCATCTTGAAAACATGGAATATTTCTCCACCTGAGAAACAGTTGTCCTTTTTTTTCTTCCTTTTTGAGATGGGAGTCTTGCTCTGTTACCCAGGCTGGAGTGCAGTGGCACAATCTCATCTCACTACAACCTCCACCTCCCAGGTTCAAGCAATTCTCCTGCCTTAGCCTCCCAGGTAGCTGGGACTACAGGCGCATGCCACCACACCTGGCTAATATTTTGTATTTTAGTAGAGATGGAGTTTCACCATGTTGCCCAGGCTGGTAGGGAACTCCTGAGCTCAGGCAATCTGCCCACCTCATCCTCCCAAAGTGCTGGGATTACAGGCATGAGCCACCGCGCCCAGCCAAAATAGTTATTCTTAACAAATCTGTTCAGGTGCTTCTTTAGTAACTGCCAAGATGTAAAAAATATTAAGTCTCTTCCCCATGAATATTTTTCCTAAGACAAAAAAAAATTTTAATGAATATATTTTAAACTATCAACAAAAATTATGAGAAAATATTTTAAGTGAAATAGCTCTATGTAAAAACTGAAAATAATTCCACTGACCCACATCAAATATCTGAGCTAAACTGCCACATTTTTAGGGCTGATAAACTAAAACAGAAACGTGCACTTGAACTTTTAATTCATAATACAACAAATCAGTTAAAGCAATTTAATTTCCAAAATATCTAATTGAAAAGACTAGCTTAATTTGCCATAATTTTTATTTGTTCCCTTTTATATTAAGGTTTTAAAAACTCCATGTTGTAAAAAACTATAAAACTATGCTAAAATAGAAGCTGTTAAAGTCACCATTGTTTTTAAGGGCAGAAAATACTGCCATGATTAATTACAAATTATAATTATAAAAGATTGCATAGGTAAATCACAACATTCCCTCTCATAAAGCAATCATCCTATAATTTTAAAATAATTATTAACTTTCTATGCATGACATTTTAAATTAACTATTGAAATTGATTAATATCAGAGAGTTAATAGGTAACAGTTTCTTGCAGATTTGATAATCAACTGCTTTATGCATCAATTTACATATTTACTTGAATAAACTTACTGATAGATTAAAATCCAGTTTATAAACTGGAGGGTTTTAAAAATAATTTTGAATTTTTTTATGGACTAAATTATTTTTCTCTATTAAACAAAACCAAGTCAAAAAAATGCAAATACCATGTGAAGGTTAAATAATGTGATCTCAACTCATACAAGCTTTCCTCTAGCAGGTTCCCAAGTCATTTGTAAACAAAGGCTTTCATTTTTCAGAACTTTCTTCAGTGCCTTGGATTCTTCTCCCTCGACTGCACATCTGGTGAACGGAATGGTGGATTAAAGCACCTCACAGCAGAGGGAATGCCTTGGTAAAGTACTGAACTTCAAAAGAGGAATGTACAACAAAGAAATTGAACAGACGTTTGCTGAGCACCTGCTATGTACCAGATAGTTTATAAGTGTTTCTTTTCTATTCCTCAAGAAAGCCCGCATTTAAGCTAGGTTTCACTTTCAGCATTTTATAGCTAGGGAAACAGGCTGATGGAGGCTATAAAAGGTATCCAGTCATGGAATTAGTCAGTGGCAGTGCCAACATTCTGAGGCAGGCCAGTGTGAACTGCCAATCTCCAACAGAAGGAATCAGTCCAGGCCTGGGTTGTCTAGGGTTGATACCCCAGACACTGTCCGAGTCATACCAGGGTGAACAATTTGGCATCTCATCATTGCTTCCCCTTTAGCTGACTTTTTAACACACTGAAGGCACAGAAACCCCTTTCCTACTTGTTTAGCTTCTCCTTTGCCACGTAATTTTTGAAATATTAAATACCAAAGCTAGTATTAAAAATCAAATATGCCATCTCGGTGTAGTTGTATAGTATTATATGAAAGATGACCGACTCAGCTAAATATTCTTGAGTACTAACTGATTCTGTTAAATATTCTTTTTTTTTTTTCCTGAGACAGAGTCTTGCTCTGTCGCCCAGGCTGGAGTGCAATAAGTCAATCTTGGCTCACTGCAACCGCCACCTCCTGGGTTCAAGTGATTCTCCTGCTCAGCCTCCCAAGTAGCTGGGACTACAGGCACATGCCACAACACCTGGCTAATTTTTTTGTATTTTTAGTAGAGATGGGGTTTCACTGTATTAGCCAGGATGGTGTCCATCTCCTGAACTCATGATCCACCAGCCTCAGCCTCCCAGTGAAATATTCTTGAGTAAAACTCCGAGTACCCTTTCTACTTTATTCAATAATATGAATATGTAACAGATACTAAACCGCTTTAAATTAGTAATTCAAATAATATTCCAAAGTTACCATAAGCTCTTGAACTTTGTGTTAACTGCTGACCACCTTTTCCAACTTTCCTTTATAAATCAGTAATTTAACACTACGAAGGAGTTAACTCCAGTGCCTGATTTTACTTAAAACAAATCCATGGAACATACAATGTATTGAAAACACTCCAATTGTGAGCATATCCTGCTATAATGACAGGTTAGGCCAGGTGCAGTGGCTCATGCCTGTAATCCCCAGCACTTTAGGAGGCCGAGGTGGGCGGATTACTTGAGGTCAGGAGTTACCAGCCTGGCCAACAAGGTGAAACCATTAAAAATACAAAATTAAAAATACAAAAATTAGCTGGGCATGGTGGCACATGCCTGTAATCCCAGCCTCTTGGGAGGCTGTCAAGAGAATCACTAGAACCCAAGAGGCAGAGGCTGCAGTGAGCCAAGGTAGCACCACTGCACTCCAGCCTGGGTGACAGAGCAACACTCCGTCTCAAAAACAAAAAGACATGTTAATTTTTGTCATACCATGCCAAATATTGGGCTTCTCCTTCCCAGTACCACTTTCAGGGTTTAAAGGAGAGAAAGAATAGAAACTCTATGTAAATATAGACCAACTTTAGATTCTAAAATAACAACGTAAGATGTAGTTAGCATCTTTAAGAACTTCAAATCAGTAAATTCAAATGGCCACAAATAATCTACCATTTTAAGGAATATTATATAAACTTTTTTTCCTTTCACTTTTCTTTTAATTGATGGTGGGTCATTTCTCTAAGATATAACAGAAGATAAGCATGTATAAAGATATAAAGGGTAAATGAATACACAGTATTAGGCATTTATATTTAAAATGAAAAATAATGTTTCGCATAAAATACTCATTTTTTCAGAATTCAGTCAGCTCTATTTATTCTAAATCAAAGGACCCCTATTCATCATGGGTAGATGTGAAGCATGGCCCATTTTGATTCAATGTATAGAAAAACGCAGGACTGGCTAAATCCAGCACATGGTTCCCTCTATAGGAAGTGGTATATAGAGCATAAGAACACAGATATAAATGCATTCATAATACTCACATTTCCAACAGCAATAATATACACAAGTAATAGGTAAATCTACAGTTAAAGTAAAACCTAACTATACAAACAAAACCCAGCCGACCACAAAGCCTGATACCTTTTTCTAAGATAAGCAGTCTTCTCCTCGCCAGGATAATTGTCATAGCCTTGATCAAACTGAATCTGATGCTCTGTTCTTATACCACATCTGGCAACTTTCATATCTGATACTATGTTACTGAAACTGAAATAATAAAAAGGTCAAGTGTATTAGAAATCTTAGCTACAGAACAGAAATAAGCTTTCTCAAACAGGAGACTGATAATTCTTATTTCATTTTTATGCACTAATTATATAACATAAAAAGTTACATTTAAATTAAAAAGTCATCTATCAACATTCCCATAACACAGAACATTACAATTTATGTTTACTTCCATCTTTTAAAGGTGTTTTTCAGAAACCTTCATTTGAAACATAAAAGTGTCACATGAAAAATTATTCTGAGAAAATGAAAGGAAAGTATAATCGGTATCTGCATACCTATCACCTACATTCAATAACTAAATTAAAACCAAGAGGTAGCCGTATTTATTTATTGCCTTGTATTGCTTCAAACACAAACAAATGAGTCACTGAACTGATAGCCCAGATATCCATTTTTCTTTTCTTAAAATCACAGTTTCTTTCAGAGATAGGGTCTCACTCTGTTACCCAGGCTGGAATGCAGTGGTGCGGTCATAACTTAATGCGGCCTCAAACTCTGGACTTAAGCCATCCTCCTGCCTCAGTCCCCAAAGCAGCTAGGACTACAAGCACACGCCACCATGCCCAGCTAATTTTTTTATGGTTTGTAGAGATGGTGTCTTGTTTTGTTGCCCAGACTGGTCTCAAATTCCTGGCCTCAAGTGATCCTCTTGACTCAACCTCCCAAAGTGCTAGGATTACAGGCATGAGCCACCACCCATGGCCATTTCTTTTAACTTCCTGAAATAAATCTAGTACACGTGCTCATTGGGAACAACTGATTTAGATCGCTCCCCAAAATGAAGCGTGTTACCACTTACTACAATGTAAGCAGCAAGTAGTGTAACGTAATATAAAATAATGAGAGATGAAGAGAATAAGTGGAAAGATGTTAGCTTAAACATAAGAATAAGAGAAAAAAGAGAAGAAAACAGACCTGAAGATTGCCATATGGTGCATAAAACCGGCAAGCTATTACATTGAAAAAAAAAATTACTTTTCTCAGAAAAGCTATCTTATTCTGTTATTTATTTTTAATAACATTACTGAATTTATCATTTATTTTTTCATGGACAAGAAACTGTAACTTCCTAAAAGGAAAGTTTAACTGTTCAATTGGTCTCTTAAAACTATAATCTTACTTAAGACATCAGATTTTTAAAAACTTGAATTGCTAAAATTCCACTTATATGGTATATTCCATTCGTAAATTCCACTTATTTGGTATATATTATATATATTACTAGCCATATGAAAATGGCCTATTTCGAGATATAAACATTACTGACCTAGTTTTAGGTCTCCATCCATCTCTCTGTGCCCCTCACTCTTCCTCATGCTACTGAGCTGCCTGAGTAGCTCTGGCTTGTTTGCTTGCCAAAAGGGAGCAGCAGACACAGCTGCCACCAACTCAGGACTCAGGGGCTTGCTTCTGAAAAAGAAAATGAAAAAAAAAAAATGAGAAAGAAAAAAGAGAGATTGCTTATTATGCCATTAGTTTAGTGAAAAGTAAAATGATTTTTTGGGGAAAACTTTTGTTGTTCCAAAAAGCATCATTCAATTCAATTTCTGACAAAAGCAAGAATTCTCAACTATTAGATACCAGTTTTATATAAACTTTGAAATGTTAAACTTTAAAATTAACAGATACTTGCTGAAGCACAACACTAACTCAGAACAATATATTAAGGTGGAGGGACAAGGGATCAGCCTCAAATGTTATAAATTAGTGGAATTTTCAATTAGATGCCATTGTACTTCAAAAACAATATAAATTGCAAGCAAATATAAAGGCAGCTTGACCTGTTCATAAAAGCTTTACTCATAATAATCCCAAACTAGAACCAACCTAAAGGTCTATTATCAGAATGAAAAAAACAAATTGTGAGATAGCTAAACAATGGAAGAATACTCAGCTTATGCCAACATGAATGACTTTCATAGACATTAGATCAAGTGAAAGAAGTTGGACACAGAACATATTCTGTAGATTCCATTTCTATCAAGTTCCAGAACAGGCAAAACTAATCTGAGGTGAAAAAACAATCAAAACAGCAATTGCCTCAGGACAGAAGGCTACTGACTGGGAAGGTAAAAATGGGAAACACAGTGTCTTGTTAAGTGTGTGGGTCACATGGGCTTATCCATTTGTCAAAACCCTCCAGCTAAGGTTTGTACACATTAATGTATGAAAATGTTACCTGAAAAAAAAAAGGGGGCCACAAATCACTATCAAGTAAGAGATGGAAAGTGGGTGAAAGATAGATAATATAAGAATGGCAAAATGTTGATCATTGTTGAAGCTGGGTGACGGTACAAAGGGGTTCATCATCCCATTTTGTGTTCTTCGCATATTTAAATTTTTCATAAGAAAAAGCTTTTAAAAGCTTCCTAAATAAATTACAGCAAGTTAATTAAAAAAAAATTCTATTACAAAAAGAAAGTAAATTATATACAACATTTTTTCCTCTTTTTTTTTTTTAAGAGATGAGATTTCAATATATCATAGAGTATGACCTTGAAGTCCTGGGCTCAAGCAATCCTCCCACATCATCTTCCTGAGTAGCTGGGACTACAGGCATCTGCCATCATGCCTGGCTATTTGCAACATTTTTAAACTCACTGAGAACTGCCATCTCAATCAGTGGGCTCCAAATTAATATTTTATTATGACTGGCTTTCTACATTACAATCTATTACCTAATATGCAAATGAACGTTCCCAAATTCCTAAAGTTCTTGGAGAAAGATTTTAAGGACTTAACTAGGATATGGAAGATCTAAAATCTGATAGAAATGGAAGAAAAATGGAAGAATGAAAAAAGGGGTGGAGTGTAATGGCCCATGCCTGTAACTTCAGCACACTGGGAGGCAGAGAAGGGAGGATCACTTGAGACCAAAAGTTTGACACCTGCCTGGGCAACATGGTGACACCCCGTCTTCACAAAAAGAAAAAACAAATTGCTATGAGTGATGACTGCGCCTATAGTCCCAGCTACTCGAGAAGCTGAGTGGGAGGATCAGTTGAGCCTGGGAGGTTGAGGCTGCAGTGAGCGACAATTGTTCTACCACACACAGCGTGGGCCACAGAGCAAGACCCTGTCTCAAAAAAAAAGGAAATCTAACAGTTAAAATGAAATGTGCTTTCAGAATTGTTATCAGTGAATAAAGCTTTAACCTTATTCCAAGTCATTGTTATTTATTTCATAAACTACTTATAAACTTCATTTTCAAATTTTAATATATGTATTTGATCAGAGTATGCAAAGAACATAGATGAATATTCATTTTCTAGAATCTTGCATTTCACAACAATGGTTTCCTTCATAGTTCTAGTCTCTGGCTTTATAATTTATAATCCCCATTATAAATTGTGGGGAGCCTGTGTTACTGAATAAGATTAATTTTCACATACAGGGATCTTTCTTCATATATTTTAACAATGTAATGATAACTTGTTAAAGTATCTTTTCGAGCTGTGCAGTGGCTCACACCTGTAATCCCAGCACTTTGGGAGGCCGAAGCAGGTGAATCACCAGAGGTCAGGAATTGCAGACCAGCCTGACCAACATGATGAAACCCCGTCTCTACTAAAAATACAAAAAATTAGTTGGGCACCGTGGAGGGCATCTGTAATCCCAGCTACTCAGGAGGCTGAAGCAGGAGAATTGCTTGAACCCAGGAGGCAGAGGACGCAGTGAGCTGAGATCACGCCACTGCATTCCAGCCTAGGCCAGAAAGAGTGAAACTCCTTCTCAAAAAATAAAAAAGTATCTTTTAACAATCTATTCTATCCTGTAATTAAGACTATTTCATGAACACATACTTTTCCCCTTCATAACTTTTTTTTTTTTTGAGATAGGGTCTCACTCTATTACCCAGGTTAGAGTACAATGGCACAATCTTGGCTCATTACAATGTCCACCTCCCAGGTTCAAGCGATTGTGCCACCTCAGCCTCCTGAGTAACTGGGATTATAGTCCCATGCCACGACGCCCGGCTAATTTTTGTTTTTTTTTTTTGTTTTGTTTTGTTTTTTGGTACAGACAGGGTTTTACCATGTCGGCCAGGCTGGTCTCAAACTCCTAATCTCAAGTGATCTGTCCACCTTGGCCTCCAAAGTGCTGGAATTACAGGCATGAGCTACTACTCTCAGCCCCTCCCAAATACTTTTAAATCATCTATAGATTACTTATAATACGTAATATAACATGAATGCTACATAAATGGCTGTTATACTGTATTTTTTAATTGGTATTTTTTTCTGTGTATTTTTAAAAAATATTATCAGAGGTTATCTGTGACTGCAGAACCTGTGCATACAGAGGGCCAACTGTATACTGCTCCATTCCTATCAATGGCATTATATCCTTGTCAAGATGGTTTCTCAGAAGTGGTGGTGGTAAAAAACAAATATCTGAGGAAAATCAATGTGGAACAGAGGTGAACATGGTAATGTCCAATCTTATTACAAGGCTAGGCCATTAAAAAGAAAATACAATTTCCTCTTGGCTCACTTTCTCTTGAGACACCTCCCCTGGAACCCAGCCACCACGCAGTAAGAAAGCCCAGGCCACAAAGAAAGCCACATGTTGGTGTTTCTGCTAACACCCTCAGCCAAGGTCTCAGCTGATAGCCAGCATCAGCTGCCAGACCTATGAGTGAGGAAACTTCAGATGATTCCAGCCTCAGACTCCTAAGTCCTCCAACTGAGGCCCCAGACGTCACAGAGTACAGACTGGCCTTCCCCACTGTTCTAGCCAAACTGCTAACCCACAGAATCTGTGAGCATATGAGGAAATGTTTTATGCCACTAAGTTTGGGAGGTAGTATAGCCAGGGAACAATATCAATGGGGATTTAATACATAATACAAAGAAAGAAAAGCAGGCTATGTGTAGGGCTAAGGGCCCCACAGGGTTGTGGGGTGTCCCTTATGCTGTGCTGGGGTGCAGGATCTGACAAATAAAGAGACAGGACACAGAAGTACAAGGAAAATGTAGCTGAGCTCAGGGGGGCCACACGACCTATAGGCAGAGACAGGCGAGGCCCCGAATGTCCAGGAGCATCTGTATTTCCTGTTTATAGGTTAGGGGGCAGGGTAGTGAGTGAAGTCATCTTTAAGGATAGGGATAGGGTCGTGAGCAATAAAATAAGGGGTCTATCCCCATTAGGTTACCTAGGCTAGGAGGTGGACAGTGCGCAGCAAGGGGTCCATTCCCATTAGGTCACCGAGGCATGGAGGTGGGCCGTGCGCAATGAAGAGGGTGCAGTGTGCAATACCTCTATGGGCGTGCTACTCCTAAGAAGATTTATAGGAGGATGCTTAAGTCCACAGCAGTGACACAGCTGTCAGAGTCTATCGCCACCTGCTGGCAGCTTCCAATGAGTTCTACGGGAAGATGCTTTTTAAGCAGCACAGTAACAAGGGATGATAAAGTTCTGTCACCAAGGTGCGATTATCCGGAGGAGTTTTGAGCCCTCAATGCTTGAGCGATTGCCGGTCTGAGGGCAGCCTTCCAGAAGAACTGGAGCAAGGTCCTACAACTCCTTTATCAGGAGGAGTGGCTCTTGCCCCAAGCCTGCCATGTAGCAGGTATCTTTACAATATTGAATGCTGCCGCCTGGGCCATGGATTCTTGCCCTAGTATAAATGTTTTTCCCTAAATCATGCTCTGCACTGTGTCTGCTCCAGACATTCCTCCGACTATAAGGTGCTTATTCCTTAATTCATGCTCTGTACTGTGTCTACTCTAGGCATTCCTCTGATTATGAATTAAGATATAGTTATATATATATATATATATATGAAAATAACTGAGTGGTAAGATATTCTTTAGGTACTCATTCTATGAACTAACATATGATTGTATATAGAGGATTATATAAAGAGAAATAACTGGTTAGTAATACTATAAACTGAGATATTCTTCAAGCCCTAATTCTATAAACTAATATATGATTATATATAAAGGATTATATAGAAGGAAATAACTGAGTAGTAACACTACAAACTGAGATATTCTTCAGGCACTAACTGTGCCAGGATTCTGCTTAGCTCTCCTTCCTTGGTACCTATATGGGGGGTTACACACACTATGCACAAAGCTATGATGACAGTGCCTCATGAAGCAAAGATCATGACTAACCTAATCCCATGCACCTTGGAGTCCTTGAAAAGTGGGGAGGGGAGGCAAAAATCATTAAAAGACACCCTTTAAAAACTCAAAACAAATGTACCTCATTCGCCAGTCTTTTGATGTAGGATCAAAGCCTCATTTAAACATAAGACCACTGATAGAAGGTTCTAAGACAGATCTTTTATATATATCACACCCACCCTCCAGTATTTTCAGTTTTGGTTTAAGTGGAAAAGTAGAGCAAGGATGTAAGAAAGCTTACAAAGCAATCTAAGTGTACTATCCTCCCGCATATGTACATTTGTCTCACTCATACTTAATTTGAAAGAAAATTTTTAAGTCACTTTTACTGACTCTTTCCAAAGCATTCAACTCATTTTACCATTTCTCTAATATTTAATTAAATTATAGTAAAGAGTATGAGGGGACATAAACAGGTCTGGGAGCTTTAAAAATGTCATTCTTGATATTTATATATGCTTATGTGTGCATTGTTTATTTCCATACCCTTATATATAACTGTTTTGTTTCTAAAGGAGGAGGAGGTTTAGGAGGAAGTACCTATTATGGGTAATGATTGTCTGAATTAACTTAACCACCCAATTATACTTTCTAGAGGTATTTTTGATACAATGTAGAAACTAAGAAGTTCCATTAAGATGTTAAATCATTCTGGAAAACAGAAGCCTATATTATCAGTTTGTTCTGATAAGAGAAGTCAGTGATGGGTATCCTAAAGCCACATACCTTACTACTTGAATTAATGACATCATAAAATACATCATTATGTATCACTAAAAAAAATACTGCAATTTAACCTACAATACAATGCCAAGATATCGCTGGTTGCCCTTAAAATTAAATATAATACTCTTTTGACAAGCACAAGTAACGATGGTGTTCTGAGGTAACCAAGAAAGCTGAAAGCACTGGTAGTTATTGGTCAAAGGAAGTCCTATAAAGCAGTTGTAATCAATATGCTAAAACTTTATTTCAAAAAAAATCTTTAAAATGGAAAATTTCAAATAAGCGAGTCCTTTACAGACATGAAGCTACCTTCAAATCAGGATGTAAATGGTATTGTTATATTGTTAATTAACAGCTTAAAGAGGTAATTAAGTAAGTGGCAGTTAATAACACTAATAAATAGGTAAGAGTGTGGAATTCTTGATGACATCACTTCTCTTTTCCTTTCACTGGATTGTACACAAATATCGTCTTGTTATTTAAATATAATACAATAACAGCATTTCATTACACTACATTCAAGCCTTCCCCTTTTAGACGGACTTTCCATTTTTCACACTTCTATATTAAAATGCTCCTGATATAAGAGTTTTTTTTGCTTGTTTTCTAAAATACATTACAGCAAGTAATTAGGGTCCCTGTGTTTACAAGCTGATATTTATTCTTCACTAATTCAACTTGGACTTCATTAATTCAACATCTCCTAAGTACTCATATTTAAAAATAGTTTTTGCCAAAAGAAAAAATTTACTGGAGTTTCAAAAATTAGTTTCAAACAACATTCAAATTACAATTACATTTCTCTCTTCTTTGGAGCATGTTCTGTAGCTCTCTGAAGGCTACCAGTTGTAGTTTTTAAGTGGTCTGCTGTTGGGTGGCTTTGTTGTTTGTACATTAACTGTGCTTAATTCAACTTTTGTGCCCTTAATAATGTCTAATAAGTCTTTTTTTCAAATTTTCCTTTATACTGTCTTGGCTCTCTGAGGTCTCCTCGGAAGAATGAACAGTTCAAATAGACTGCTCAATTTTCTTGCTACAGATCGCGCTGTTAGTGCCAAAATATCTTTGGATATTTTTTGTCCTGGAAAGACGCATTAAAGAAAAAAAAATGAAAACTACAATGCAGGCTAATAACGCAAAAAATTATGTGTCTAAAATTTTTCTCAATTCAAGCCCTTTCCATTTGCTTTTTATAATTATTGTTAACAACCATAACAGCAGCAACTTACCATTTATTAGCATACACTACATGCCTCACCTTGTGCATTATGTTTTATGTACAGTTGACATACACACATTAACTCCCTAAGGTCTCCATTTTGCAGATAAAGAAACTGAAACAGAGAAGTAACTTACCCAAAGTCATGCACCTCACAGCTCACTAAGGTCTAAAACACACTGGTGTGCCACTAATAAGTAGAGGTGTGCTGAGATATTAATCACCTGCTCCTTGGGGTGGCCAGGGGAGGTCTAGGGGTGCTGGTGCTCCCAAATCTGTTCCCTCCCTCCATTTACCCCAGAGTTCAGTAGATAAACTCTGACATGGTTAATAAATGACAATTTATTATTCTTAAAACCAAATGACTGCCGTGAGCCGAGATCGCGCCATTAAGAATAAAACTCCACCTCAAAAATTAAATTAAATTTTAAAAAATAAAACCAATAAAGTTAATATTAAAGTTATTTTAACAGAAAGGTGGTAATCAGGGGGATGGAATGAGTCTCACATATAATCTTTACTACAATGTTTTCTTTCAAGACTGCTATCATATCACAGAAAGCAATCTACATTACAGGAAAATCATGTAGGCCGGGCGCGGTGGCTCACACCTATAATCCCAGCACTTTGGGAGGCCGAGGCGGGTGGAGATCAAGAGGTCAAGAGATCGAGACCATCCTGGTCAACAAGGTGAAACCCCGTCTCTACTAAAAATACAAAAATTAGCTGGGCATGGTGGCACGCACCTGTAGTCCCAGCTACTCGGGAGGCTGAGGCAGGAGAATTGCTTGAACCCAGGAGGCAGAGGTTGCAGTGAGCCGAGATCGTGCTATTGCACTGCAGCCTGGGTAACGAGCAAAAAACTCCGTCTCAAAAAATAAAAATAAAAAACAAAAAAAACCAATCATGTATAATTAACTCCATAACACTAAAATAATAAAACTCTAGACCTAACCTCCACCTGAGTTTGTTTCCATTGACAGCATCTCATCAGTACTTCAAATGCAACACCTTCAAAACGACATTCAAGACTTCCCCTTTCAGACTGACTTTCTGTTTTAGATTTTTTTGTTTGTTTTCTAAAAACTATAACATATGTAAAAGTCTTTCTCAACCCCGGCCCTGCATTCTTCTGCTAACATTAAGGATACCCTAATCCTCCAACACAGCCAGTTGAAATCTTTGCTATCTCTGACCACCCTACCATTATCCCATGATGTAACTAACATCCCTTTAATTCTACCTGTGCAGTTTATCTCCTCCATTCAGCTGGTCCTTCCCATCTTCACTGCTACTAACCTGCTTCAGCACTGTACTTAACCAAATTGCCTTCTGAGTGTTATGCATGGAACTTATGCAGTGGAATTAGGCTTTCATAATAATAAAGTTCTTGCAGAATAAACAGCAAAACCAAGAATGTCACAACACCTTTTCTTTCCTGGCTAACTTCAACCAGTGATCCACCTTCATTTCATCAGCCTTTTCTTCCAGAAAGGATATCTGGAGTCTCTCCTGCAATGGTTAGGTGTCCCTATTTGCTTCTCCAGCAACTACTTGTTGGAAGAATAGTGCACTCTGTGCTTACGTACACTATCTCAGCGATTACTTCACTACACAACACTTGTCTACTTGCTGGAACTACAAGCTCCGTGATGAGAAGATTGCCTTACTTGGGGTTTATAACCAGTACTGGCAGGCTATAAAGTTTTTCAATAATGAACTAAAGAATACATGAAGGAAACAGAAATGAAACCATCAAATAAATCTTGGGAGGCAAAAGATAAAACAACTTCGCTTTTGGAGCTTGGATAAACTGACGGGAGATGATGACAAGAGGAATGAGGCACAGCGACCAGGCTTGTAATCGCAGCTCTGTTTTCCACGCACGCTATGACCTTGGGCTAGTCATCTTATCTTTTCGGGATTTTTCTTTTCTCAGATTTAAAGCAACAGCTTCTAAAACCCAGCAGGTAATAACATTGACCCCAAGAAGTCGGGGGATGACTGAAGGTACAGGACAGGGCACCGGGATTCCGAAGACCTGCGGGGCCAAGAGCGCTGAACTGCGGTACCTGACCGTTCCATAGCTAGCAGCGAGTAGCACAATTACAGCCGCTGATGTCTCCGGGCTTCCAGAGAACAAACGTTGGCAGGAAAGGGGGCGCAGACGTAGGAACGCCGAGACTCTAGCAAACAGCGAAGACACATAGCCAACCAGGAGTGCAACTCAAAGAGCGCGTCCGGGTGCCAAATACGTCCCCCGCACTCTCTTCCGTTTCCGGTCTGGCGTGTTCCTCTCCCTTTGCGTTCTGGCGTGCAACCCGGGCAGGTAACTGTGTTCTGGACTCGCCGACGGGTCGGGCGGAGCCAGCTGCCTCCAGACGACCCCACCCACTCGCGATTCCAGTCCTAGAGGCAGAGTCCTTGCCAGGTGCAGCATCGGTTAGCTGGCCGAGGCGGATCCCAGACCGCCCAACCAGACCGTGGAGGGCTTGAGCAGCCGTGCGGAAACTTCGGAAAGGGCCAGTGAGATCAGTCTGTTCTTTAACAGACACTACTGTGCGTTGTTTGGAGGGAAAGGGTCTATCTACAGCGTTCACCGCGTTTTCAAAATGCACCATGGCCACCAAAGAGGTTTAAAAAAATTACCGCAGGGCCTGCTGCAGGATGTAATAGCGTTTGTTTTCCGTCTTTATTCTTGATGTAGACTCAAAATAAGACAGGTTTCATTTTTCACAAGTGACTTTAGGCCGGGCGCGTGGCTCACGCCTGTAGTTTCAGCACTTTGGAAGGCCGAGGAGGGTGGATCACCTGAGATCAGGAGTTCGAGACCAGCCTGACCAACTTGGTGAAACCCAGCCTCTACTAAAAATGCAAAAAGTAGCCGGGCGTGGCGGCGCAGGCCTGTAAATTCAGGCTACGCCGGAGGTTGAGGATTGGACGAACTTCCCGAGGCGCGCGGTAGGCTGGGAACCTGGGCTCCCGGGGAGTTCTGCTGGCAGAGGCGGGTGCAGGGAACCGGCAGCTCGGCGGGAGCGTGGGAAGAAGCTGACGCGCCGTCGCGAGTTCCCGCTTAGGGAACTTAAAGAGAGTTTTAGTTTATCCTCCTTGTCTTTCGGGGGCGTGTGCTACCCTACTGGCCCGCGCTGCAGCGAGCCCCGCCGCTGCTCCCTTAGGCCCACTCAGAGGGTGGGTGGGAGGTGACACCCGTCAGCCTTTCCCGCCCCTCTGTCTCTTGCTGCGGTGGGGAAGGCAGAAGCCGCGAGGCAAGCCAGTGGTACAAGGTGTTCCCGGCTTAATCGCACCCTGCGTGGCTCCAAGGACTGGCCGGGCTTTCGTGTCGCAGGTTCCCGCTAAGTGTAGGATTCAGATCTTACCATGATTCTTTTTAATAGTGAGAAGTTGTCTCTGTGCTATGTGGAGATTAGGATGTTGTTAACTCTTGTTAATGGAGCTCGTCCTGTCGACCAAGTTGTTTTAATTTGATCATGAACATACACAAACCTAATGCTTATGGATATTAAAGGGTTCTTTATATATTCTAATTTTATCATAGTTTAAAAATCTTAACAGAATCTGTTATCAGTGAGGGGCTTTAATGAGGAATTTGAAAAGGGAACCAATAAAATCATTGCATTTGGGCACAGTCTTTAAAAATAAATTTGCAAAAATTTCTTTTTTACGCCTATTTTTATGGAAAAAAAAATTTCCCATAAGGTCAATGGACTCCTATTTGGAAATAGAATTTTTATTAAATGCCTGTGCAGGCCGGGTGGGTGTGGAAGCTCAGGCTTGTAGTCCCAGCACTTTGGGAGGCCAATGTGGGTGGATCACTTGAGACCAGGAGTTCGAGACCAGCCTGGGCAACATGGTGAAACCCCATCTCTGCTAAAAATACAAAAATTAGCTGGGCATGGTAGCACCTGCCTGTAGTCCCAGCTACTTGGGAGGCTGAGGCAGGAGAATTGCTTGAACCCGGGAAGTGGAGGTGTCGGTAAGCCAAGATCGTGCCACTGCACTCCAGCCTGGTCAACAGAGTGAGACAACGTCTCAAAGAAAACAAAAAAAAAGATACAAGAGAGAGACTTGGCTTTTACGTGTCCTTTATGAAGAAGGGAACCATGAGCCAGAAGAAATGTGGAGTTCCCAACCTTGGAAAGGCATGAGAATAAACCCGGCAGGAAACGTTAGCTAATGTGTTTTGTGATGCTGAAAACACAGCTTACATTGAGCAGATCTTCCTGAGATCCACTAACAGAACCTTTGTGACTGAATGCTATACACAGTACACCTGGGGATGCTTACTTTGTTTTAATTTGTAAAAAACAAACTTTTTTTAAAAAATGGAAATATAAGTATATTATTTGTGATTCTAGAATAGGGTAACATCTCTTTCTATCAAGTTGAATGAGTGTTCAGTGAGTTTGGCTTTATAGGCACAAAGGGCTGAAGAAAATTAGAAACAGGGAACAAAAATCAGATTGGTAATTTCAAAGTTACCTTCCTTATGGAGTTAAACAGAGGGGATTTCTTTGTCAGCTGGCTCAGGTAAATTAGGCCCCCTCTGATTGGTGCTGTGAGTCTCCTGCTTTTGGAAAACTGACCCTGATTTCAAAGTTCAATTTGATTACTTGGCACTTAACACAAGTGATTATTCAGGTTTGCTCTGGTGTGTTGGGGCTAGTATAGAAAGCTTGTCCAAAACTATGGCGTCCTATCAACTTTAGCATCTTCAATTCAGAAAAGTGCATGAACCATAAATATGTTGATGAAAATGTATTTTTTTTTTTTTTAGATGGAGTCTCACTCTGTTGCCCAGGCCGGGTTCAAGTGATCCTCCCGTCTCAGCCTTCCAGGTAGCTGGGCCTGCAGGCATGCACCACAGCACAGGGCTCATTTTTGTGTTTTTAGTAGAGACAGGGTTTTCTCATGTTGGCCAGGCTGGTCTCAAACTCCTGCCCTTAGGTGATCTGCCTGCCTCGACCTATCAAAGTGCTGGAATTATAGGCATGAGCCACTGCACCCAGCCAAAAATATGTTTAAGAAGTGATCACAGGGTTAATTCACCCATGTGAACCTCCACCTGGATCAAGAAATAGACTATTAGCAGTAGGGCACATGTTTTTTGATATCATTTGATACTCAGTGGAAAATCCATTCTTGAGTATAAGCAGTCCATCCAAATCACATTAATAGTTACTTCATCTTTTTTCAATTTTTTATAATATCCATCAAATGGGTTTTTTAAAACCCTGAAAACTCTTGACAAAGGCGATGGAAATTTCCATCTCAATTTCACAATTTCTCTAGGGGAAGATCTTGTCCCAATTACCCTGTTCTTAATCTACTCTAAGGCAGGGCAGACACAGTAAATTACCTCCCTGCTGCATGAGGGCACACAGGCTGTGACTATGTGAAAGTGCCTGGCTGAGGATCACAAGTGGGAATTGAAATTTCTCTACCAATTGGTTCCTTCAACTACCACTTTCTTAAAAAGAGGCCTTCTTTGACTACCCTGGTTAAAGTAGTTTCCTGCCCCATCTAGTTACACTCTCTGGCAGGGATTGCTGTTGTCCACTTATATCCATTCTCCTATGGAGTTTTAGTCGAACACACGGCCACAGAAGTAGAGATTACATTGCGCAGCTTCCCTTGCAGATAGATGTGTCATGGGCCAGAAGTTCTAATCGATAGAATGTGAACAGTGATGTAACCTTAAAAAAATGGGCACGCATTTCCCACATACTTTTGCTCCTTTATGCTAGCTGGAATACAGACCAGATGATAGAAGTTGAAGCAACTAGACAATGGAAAAATGAAAATTTGCAGACATGAGGGTGACAAAGGCATTCTACGTGTGTCTTTCGTATCAAAAAAAAAAAAAAAATAGATTGCTAAGACTCTGGTGGGCTTATGTGATCTTTCACATTTGTCAAAACTCATAGATTTGTACACCTAAAAATTGTGAATTTTACTATATGTAAAATACACCCCAATAAACCTGACTTTTAGGCTGACCATGGTGGCTTATGCCTGTAATTTCAGTACTTTGGGAGGCCAAGGCAGGAAGATCCCTTGGGCCCAGGAGTTCAAGACCAGCCTGGGCAAATCTATTTAAAAAAATCAAAAAATTAGCGAGGCATGGTGCACCTGTGGTCCTAGCTACTTGGGAGGCTGAGGTGGGAGGATCACTTGAATCCAGGAGGTCGGGGATACAATGAGTGGTGATTGAGCCATTGCACTCCAGCTTGGGTGACAGGCAGAAACCGTATCTCAAAATAAATAAATAAATAAATAAATTTGAATTTAATTTTTTAAAAAATCAATAGGATAGTTCTAGTTGGCCATAAATTAAACCATAAAGAGAATTTCAATAAACTCCCCCAAATGTCATAAATCTATCCTTGGAAAAACTATAACTTGTGCAATGTTTGTCCAGAGCAATCATTTGTCAGAGTGACAAAAATAAAGCCAGAAAGTAGAAAATGTTTTTCCTCCTTTAACTTTCTATTATGGTATTAGATTCACTAATCATTTTCTTCCCAGGAACCCCTGAAAATGCACTTTTTAGAAACAAGCCACCTTTGGCAAGAAATAGCAAATTAGCTGAAATTGGTCCTGATATACTATTGATCAGTACTTTGTCCTAGATACCTCATGAAATTCTATGCTAATTAACTCAACAAACCTTACAGGAAAATGAAGAAACAAAATCATCATATATTCCAGTTATCCATTGCTGTGCAACAAACCATCCTAACACTTATCTTAAAATAACTCTCCTGGTTCTGTGACAGGTGGGCCTCAGCTGGGTAGTCCCTACCTTGATCTCTCATGTGGTTGCCATCAGGTAAAACTGGATGTCCCAGATGGTTTCTTCACCCACCCGTCTGATGCCTCAGCTGGAATAGCTGAAAGAAACGGGCTGGCTGCATCTCTCTCCACTCCTTTGACCTTTTTTTTTTTTTTTTTTTTTTTTCCAGCTTTATTTAGGTATGGTAGACAATTAAAAATTGTCTATATTTAAGGTATGCAACCTTTTTTTTTGAGATGGAGTCTCACTCTGTTGCCCAGACTGGAGCACAGTGTTGTGATCTCGACTCACTACAACCTCTGCCTCTCAGGTTCAAGCTATCCGCCTGCCTCAGCCTCCAGGGTAGCTGGGACTACAGGCGTATACCACCATGCCTGGATAATTTTTGTATTTTTTTTAGTAGAGATGGATGTTCACCATGTTGGTCAGGCTGGTCTCGAACTCCTGACCTCAAGTAATCCACTTGCCTTGGCCCCCCAAAGCACTGGGATTACAAAAGTGAGACACTGCACCCGGCCTGCCCTATGACTTTTGTACCTGGCTAGGTTGGGCTTCCTCACAGCATGGCATCTCAGCATATTTGGGCTTCTTACAGAGCAGTTGACTTGCCTTAGAGTAAACATTCACACAAGACTAAAGCTGCACAGCATTGAAAGTCACATAGCGTCACTTGCATCTCATTGTATTGGTGCAAAATGAGTCACAGGGTCAGTCCAGATTTCAAGGGAAGGAACTATACTCGCTTTTGAGTACCAGCAGCAGTGGTCACTGGGGGACCGTTTTCAGAGGCTTGCTACCACATCCTAGGAAACTGTTAATTAATTAGTTTCATTCATTTTATCAGTATATTCTTTTAAAATTTTG